GGCCATCAGATTTAAGTCACTTTTACATTCACACTTGCCATTTTACTAGCAACAGTCAGTCAGTTAGTTCACAAGAATTGTATGTTAAAAAAACAATGGGAACAAGAGCTGGGTACCAACCAGGTGAAATGCACTAATAACATTGACTTTTACAGTTCTGAACAAGTAAGCACATACTAGTCAAAGGGTTAACAATGCCTATATAACAAATATTACACAAATCATTTTTATCAAGGAACATGTAAGAAATGTGAAAGTAGTTCACAACAAGCTGAGAATACTTAAATAATTATGCAATCTCACCTTCTGCATCTTGGTCCTCAGTTCAGAAGTCGATATGGAACCATTAGCATACCTTAACTTATCCAAGTTGGCAACCGATTCTTCACCAGCATTCTAAAATCAAGTTACAATTTTTTCAAATATGAACATATAAATAAATAAATACAAGTAGTATTCAACTATTTAGAAAATTGAAAAAGCCTAAGCCGAAAGTGATTTTCAACTTGAATTTAAGGGACAGGCATGTTTTGTCTTTTTCTTTTAGGAGGAGGAGGAGGAAGAAAAAAAAAAATTGTGCTTTAACCATAACCTTTATATTTGATCTATTAAAATTGACTTTAAATAAAGCAAGGTCTAAACAACTATACAAAACACAATTTCACCCTATGATTATAGGTAGGTCAGAGTGTACATGTCACAACATTTTACAGTTATTTCAAATTTAAATAAACTACTTTATTATCAGCTTATATTTCTTACATTTACATATAATGTAATTTAATGCAAGTGTTAAAGTTAGTTATGTTTACAAGTGATAGTTTATGACAGGTTTGTTGTGTCATTTCAATGTTGTGATTTGGTGCTTATTGAGTCATGTTACTAGAACCTTCCAGGTTTTTTTTTTTCTTGTTGCTTTGATTGAGTATTATTACATCATATTTAGTAGTGCAGAAAGTTCTAGGCCTCAGTCACGCTATAACTATGTAGTTTGAATAATTAAGATAAAGATACAGTTAGTTAGATAGATAGCTGGAGCTAAAATGTGTTTACAAGTTTAGCAAAAATAGGATAGTGGTGCTATTTTTTTTTTAAGAAAAATTAAAGTAGATTGTATTCTAACAACAGAATAGAGTAATTTGTCTTGTCAATTGTATTCTAAAGTAATTGAACAAAATTGTGTGATATTGATGAAAAGAGAAATATTTAAAGCTCTGGATACAAGTGTGATGATTAACTATGTAACAAACATTTATTTATATGTTTGACTTGACTTAATATATGATTTTAAAATAAATGGACTGTGTGTTTTGTTTAATGTTGAAATTTGTCACCAACAAGTCACAGACACCTACTGTAAAGAATCCTGCCCAAATATAAAAATTGATAAAACAGTTTAATAATTATCAATTACAATTATTGTTAATAGGCAATTTAAATCAGTACTATTAAACAAAAAAGAATTTATAATCATTTAATGCATTACTTTTGCTCCCAGTCAGTCATCCAAAGTTATAAATGGATACAGCTTGTGGTAATAACATCCAAAAAGCATTGGGGATATCCCATTTATCTAGCAAAATCCAACACATTGAAGTTAAACAGGTTGATCATCATGGAAAACCAAAACAAGGGTGCGGAGGAGTGCTTAAACCCACAACATCTCGCCTCCTACTGCCTTTTGCTGTCTGCAACCAAATGTGGGAAGGCAGTTACCCTTAAAGTTATTCAAGTTTTGAAAGTAATGTTAATTTATCAAAGGAAGAAAAAAAAAATATTTTCATTATACAGTGTTTGGAAGGATGTATTGGGACAAGTTTATGTTTGACTGAGAAAAGCATGTGCTGCTTTATCTTGCCTGTTTTAAATAAATCCAAACCACCATATAAAGGTCTTAATATAATGAAAAAGAAAGTAATCAACTTACTTATAAAATTATTCAAGTATTATAAAAATAATAATTTTTTTTTTTAGTTGTATATCTATTATTTTTTTAGTTTATTTATGAATAAGAAAACATTATTCATAAAAGTTATTACTACTGTATACTGTTAAAATTCTTTCAGTCGTGATAAAATAATCCCAGTACATTAGAAATAATACTATTGGGAGTAGGTACACCAAGGATGGGAAAATTAAATTTCTTTCATTTATCAAAATAAATGTCTATGTCTAGATAATTTGTGTAAGAATTATTCCTGTTGCTTTTATCTATAGTCAGTTCCTTAGGATATATTATATTTGGGGCAAAGTTAGTTATTTATTGAAATTAAATCATCAATATATCAGAATGCATTATGTTCATGACTACGGATGACTGACCGGAAGCAAAAATAGATACAATAAATTACTATATAAAAACCTGACAATATTGATGAACTTAAAACATTTTAATTCTAATTCAATTTTTTACACTATGTAAGTATTAGTTTCATAATTTCAACACAAGATATTTCTTTCAATTCCTAATCTACATCTTTTAGTCACATAATAAGATTGTGCTATAACTTCTCATGTATCTCTCTTGACAGGAGCTCGGTCGATTTGACTGACCACATGGCCTCTTTATGCTCGTATAGTATTTATAGATTTAATACTACTCACTTTAAATAATGGTATGTATATCTTCACAAAATTTTAGTCTTTCAGTAAACATAAGTCTTTCACATACAAAAAAATCATAATTTTTTTTGTGAAGTATTTAAAAAAGATTTGTCAATGACTATATCAAGTATTTGTTTTGAATGGTCCATTTACAAAGTGATTTTCATGTTAAAATTAAAAATAATTTTCTTCATCTTAAAAATCTCAGATTGGCTTTGTGTAATCTGTAAAACCTCCTAAATACACTTGAAATGTTTGTTTTCAGTAAAGCTTTAAATTGTTTTTTTGTTATTTTCTCTACCCCTAGCTCTATAAAAGGTTGGTCATGACCAATGTCTTAACCCTCTCTACATGGGTCAATTTCCATGTCATCACATTTGTTGACTAGCATTAAAAGTTTTATTGACCTACTATTTCAGGAATTTATGTCAACAAGTTTGGTATCAAACTGTAGATTATAATTCAAATTTTAGTATTATATATTATTTAATTTCTTAATATTAAAAAAATCAGTTAAACATCGATTTTTGTGTATCAGGTGGTATGTTGAATGCAGAACTGGTTCAGATTATATGTTTGTGAAGTCAAAATACTAAGCCTCTAATTCATACAAATTAGAAACACAAATTACAGATATTGACAAGCTAGAATATAAAATAAGGTCTTATCTTTTCTGTTTACCAAGATATTGCTTATGTAATAAATCCAACAGTGGCACCTCACCCACCTCTTTCCATTTTTGGAAACACTCCCTTACTTCTATACATGATATGAATAACCAATCAGAAGCTCAGAATGTCTCCCTACTGGTTTTCTCAGCCATTTTAAATTCTTTGGATGCCATTTCCTTCTTTTGAACAAAGATTTCAAGAAGGAAGGGTGTGTCTTTTGTCTGCTCAAAATGTCATATTTGTTTTTAGACTAAAATACATCTTAGTTACTAAGCTTGATAAATTATAGTGAAATTCAATGGTATAGTAATTAATGATTTTTCAGTTATTCAAATGTATATATATAAAACCTAAAAAAAATTGCTTCAAATCCTCCATGTGCAAAATTTTAAAAGGCTTAGCAACCTATGTCAAGCAGCAACTGAGTACAAAGGTCATAACTAGAATGGAATTATTTGCTTTACTTCTTTATTTACTGTTCTAAGTTTTAATAAAAATAAGTTAAGAACTTGTTTCAAAATAACAATAATCTATATACATATATAATTTATAATGATTGAAATGTGACTGTATTTTACAAAATACTAGTCTACTAAAACACAGCTAAGACAAGTTACTTTGTACAGACCAAAGGTCAATTATGTTATTTGGTATGGTAACATGAGTTCACATGAGCCACATCATTGTAACTTCTGTATTGTTAGCCAGGCAAGGGTGAAAGGTCAATATAATAAAAATAAAATATATAAATGTACAATGTTATGAGATTTAAGCTATTTAGTCTAAACATTTATGTTTCATGTCTAAATTGTGTTCATTCTAGAATGAAAGAGGCAATATTTATGTTTATTTCCTATTCGTTTTTTATATATATATATTGGTTGCAAGATTGGTCAAATCTACCAAACCTGTTCAGAGATTAATTACAGATAAAATACAAATGTTTTTCTTAAATGTTTGATAACTATCTGGACATTATAAAGATTTTGCATGTGAAATTTGAAACTTTTCTAATGCATAAAGGTATTTTTAATCTTAAAATAAAAATTAATTTTCATGATAAAATGGGTAACATGTGAAGAAAAAAAGGTTGTGAGAAAAACATTGCTTTACAAACCTTAAGATTTAATAATAAAAATAATTGATATTTTACGTACAAAAGCAGTGCATTGTTTACTGATAATCTGCTACATTTCATTAACAATTACTTACTAATTTAAAAGTTATAGCATGAAAACTATAACAAGCACAAAATGGTTACAAGGTCAGTCCCAGGGATTCGAGCCCATGCTGAAAGAGGTAAAAGCTTGCCAAATTCTGTGAAGGTACACATAGTAAAATATATAGTATGTACAGTTTCATGGTTACAAGGTTGGTCAAAATTACCAAGCCTGTAAACAAGTGTTAAACAGACCAAGTCACCCAAGTTATACACAGCATTTGTTCTAGAAAATAACCTACTGGTTTCATCTCTCCAATTAGGTCCCCTGGCTTATTCTCTTCAGAAATGGTAAAAGCACAAGCTCTGCCAAAGACTACCAAGTCTAGCAAGGAATTAGCTCCTAGCCTGTTGGCTCCATGTACAGAAGCACATCCTGCTTCTCCACAGGCATACAATCCAGGCACTATTTTGTCTCCTTCTCCTGGTGAATAGGAAAGTACCTACAATACAATGCAACATCCTGATATCAGTAGTTTTACAATATGCAAAACAAAAATACCTATAGCCTACTAAACAGTATTTTTGTCAACTTGTTGATAATTGTGTATATATAAATAAATAAAAAAACTTTATTCGTTTTATGTATTTCAATATAAAGTTCCTTAGAAAAGATTAGCCATGGTAAAATATTTTTCTCAGACTTGAACTCTTCTGCAAGGAATTATGCTTTCTGAAGTAGTTGATTCCAGACTAGAAAGGAGTATGCCTATAAGAGACTCACATTACATGCTAAATAAAATGTCAAAAAAAATGCATAAAATAGAAGTACCTCTAGGAACCTGTAAAATGAGACACTTGAAGCCAATATAGGCCAATCATTTGTGTTAATCAAGGACAAACTTAGAGAAATGTAAAGAAAAAAAAACTATATTATGTGATCTCTAATTTACAATTAACCCCAATGAGCATTTATCAACCATCTGAGCACAATTTACAACCACACTGCAATAAAACTGTACAGCCAAATACTGATGGTGAGTCTAGCCAGTAGGCCCACATAATAATTGCCTTGGCACCACTCAAATGAAGCTGCAATCTCACTATCCTAATTTCAGATACTTAGCCTAAATATGTTGTGCAGCTCAAACTAGCATGGAAGTAGCAAGTGAAACATTTTATTAATCTCAGTTACAGAAATCTCCTGTACTTTTAAGGTTTACAATCAAAATTGCAACACTAGCCAGAAATTTGCTGGTGTTAATTTCCAAATCCCATTATAATGAAGTGGTAACTTTCTTCCATTGTAATGCCCGCAATAGAAAACATGAATATAATTGAGTAAACAAAAGCTAGTCTTTACTATTTGCTTGCACCAATTATTTCAATAGTTAGAGCCAAAGAACTCGAAACATTACTTGAAATGCAAAAATAAAGAAGAATACAGCTGAATTTCTACACTCACCTGTCCCTTGAAATTAGTAGGAACTCCTCCCATGTTGTAATGTACTGTTGGAAGGACAGGAATGGGTTCTCTAGTGACATCAACTCCGGCAAAGATCATAGCAGTTTCAGATATACCAGGCAATCGAGAAGCTAGCTGTTCTGAAGGAAGATGATGAAGCTGGAGGTAGACATGATCCTTTTCTGGCCCTACACCTCTATACAGAAAAATATTTATGTAAAGGTGAATTGTCTTTACTGTATTGCAAAATTACATTGCAGCTTGTAAAAGAAAACTAGAGCAAATGGCACAGTCATACATTTGATTAATCAAAACAGTTCCTTGAAGATGATAAAAAAGTTAATTGTCTGTTATTTAATTCAACTTGCCTTCCTTCTCTTATCTCTATCGTCATTGCTCGTGATACTACATCCCTGGATGCCAAATCCTTAGCCACAGGAGCATATCTTTCCATAAATCTTTCACCTTCACTGTTGACGAGGAAACCGCCTTCACCTCTGGATCCTAAGAATATCAGCAACAACAAAAAAATATGTGGAAATTAACGTTATTCGTACCTAGAGTCAATAACATAAGAACATGATTGGGGGGTGGGTATTTTTCAATACATGCCATTTTTACCCCATTCATTCTGTGGAAACTATAATAGTTTCTTTAGTAGTAAAAATAACTTTCCTTACTTTTATACCATTATAATAGTTCAGTACAACCAAAATACAAACCTTCCGTTATCAAACAGCCTGCTCCATAGATTCCTGTAGGATGAAACTGCACAAATTCTAAATCCTGATTTACAAGTCCAGCACGGGTTACCATTGCTGTTCCATCACCAGTGCAAGTGTGAGCTGATGTACAGGAGAAATATGCTCGGCCATATCCTCTATAATAATGCAATGCAGAAAATCAATTTTTTTTTTTAATTGATCACCTGTAATAGTAACATTTAAATATTAAAACGTATTGAAAACACTTAGTAAGTTAACAATGTTAAGAAAGACTGCACTGGAAAATAAATCTTATCAAGTTTCTACAAATACACTGTTAAATGGTCCACTTTCATGATAATAAAACCTATTTTATATTAACTTTTAAGCATAAATACACTACCACAAGTATGCATTAATTAGTTAAACATTAAGCTTACATTATTCCTTGTACTTCATATGATTCTATAAAGTGTAATTTCATAACAGTTTCCTCTATCAAATAAATGTTACAACAAGTGGAGAATATTCAAGTATTTACCCTGTAGCAAGAACAGTGTTCTTAGCTCGAATGCGATGCAGTGACCCATCTTCTAGACAGAGAGCAATAACTCCACGACACTCTCCTTCCTCCATCAACAAATCAAGAGCAAAGTATTCCACAAAAAAATTGCAATCATAGCGAAGACTCTTTAAAAAGATTATAAAAAAATGAATGCCAGCATGATAAACAAGTCTTTACAATAACTCAAATGTAAACTTTACATGAGCACTAAGTGACAGAATACCTTTCACCAATTAGTGAATAATAAACCAAATATTTACATAACAACCTCAACTTTATTACACAATCTCTATTTCATCTTTCAACCACTGCAGTCTTCAGCACCAATTCATCAACAAAACCAGGTCAATAATTTATCATTTGACAAGAATGTCTATAAACAAAAGCTATGTTATCCAAGATGAAAGGTTCACAACATGATTCTAATTCACAAGTTGTTAGATTCAAGTTCTATATGAACTCTTGCTAATCTTATTATACCTCTGACTTTAAAACTGTAATTTCAACTATAAACTTCTTTCAGTTCACAAAAACCCAAAAGACCTACCTTAAAATTAGCAGATGGTTATCATAGTTTTGTTTGTCTGAAGAGAAATAGAACAGTTCTTTAAACTTACTAACAGCATTCTGAAGGGAAAATATACTCTACAGTCTTACTTTTAATAATAATAATGGTAATAATAATTAAAAACACATAGTAAAATGTTAAGACTTGACTGATATGTAACCTACCTGACCATACAACGTATGTAATAGAGAATGTCCTGTCCTATCTGCTACACAGCAGCAACGGTGAGCTTGACCTCCTTTCCCATAGTTGTAAGACTGACCACCAAAAGCCCTTTGATAAATCTTTCCATCTTGGGTTCGACTAAAGGGCATACCATAATTCTCTAGCTGTTCAAGAAGAATCCCACATTTAAAGTTTTGACAACATTTTCTTCAAATTAAAAAAAATAAACCAAAATACATCATATAAGAGCAAACTTACTAAAATCAATTCCACGAACTATATAAATTTTTTAAAGTCTTAAAACCACTTAAATTGGATGTTGGGTAAAATAAATTTGAAATCCAACAAAGGCACAAAAACTTATTATAAAACACGAATTACAACAGTTTTTAATACAAAAGACCCAATATGTTCCAGTAGCCCCTGGATGCCTTCTTCAGATGCATATACCTAGTGTGTTACAATGTCTTTATAAACAAGTAAATAAAAATAACAAAAGTGCAATCTGGGGTTTTTTAGTAACAGTAGTATATAGTCATGTTAATAAAGAAATTATTTTATTATTATTTTTGGTCAGTCGAGCATGAAGCCAAGAAACAAAAACATTTCAACCATACTCCTCCTGCTTCAGGTAGGATTATTGAAAGGAGTGAAGGATATATAAAATTTTACAGAATGCAGAAGGCATTCCTAAATGTTTAGTTGCATCTTTTAATGTCGATAACAATTGACATGCCAACACAGCAATGTACCAAAAAGTATTATACTGCTTTAACAAAAAAAAAAAAAAAAAAAAA